TATAAATTTATTAAATTTGATACTAATAAAAAAAATTAATGTAATATATTTATTATCATATAAATGAGACATCAGCAAGAAGAGGCATGTGGCTGAAAATATTGGGTAATTATTTTCTTTGAATATCAGCAAGAAGAATTATCTTGCTAAATAATGGATATCAGCAACATAGCTATTGTTGCTGAAAATTGAAAATCAACAACAAGAGGTATGTTGCTGAAAGGTTGGGTACCCTCCCCCTCCCTTTTTTAGCAACACAAGCCACGTTGCTGAAAATATGGTTTCAGCAACGTGGCTATGCTTGCTGAAAATGAAGAAACCGGAAACCACCTCTTTTTTACCAACGTGGAGCATGTTGGTGAAAGCACACAATCAGCAACAAGGATTATGTTGCTGAAAAGTGGAAAACCACTATCCCCTCCCTACTTTTACCAACATAAGCCACGTTGCTGAAAATGGGGTTTTAGCAATGTGGCTTTTGTTGCTGAAAATGCCACAAAATTCCGGTGCCGAAAATGGGTAGAATTTTTTCTCATTTTTACCAACATGAGCCACGTTGCTGAAACTCTATCTTCAGCAACGTGGCCTATGTTGCTGAAGGGGCTGAGACATTTCACCCCCAACTTCCACCGGATTCCGGCCACCTCTTTCAGCAACATGAGCTAGGTTGCTGATACTATATTTTCAGCAACATAGATCATGTTGCTGATGTATCAGCAACAAGAGTTTGGTTGGTAATGTATTACCCACTAAGCCTTTTCCAACAAAGCTTTTAGCAAGCAAATCCATGCTGCTGAAGGGCTTTTAGCAACATGGGAACCACTTTCAGCAACATGTTTCCATGTTGCTGAAGCTAAGCATTTTAGTAGTGCTAGTTACTCTGATACTATTACGATGTGTGTTTCTCTTTAGCTGTCTGGCTTTAAAATAATTGGAAATGCTCATGTGTGTGTTATCAACCAAGAAAATAAATGCGTTTTGGCATATTGAAAAATATAAATTGAAATGATCATGTTTGTTTTTCTTTTTCCTTTTTCTTTGTGTTGTGGAAATGATATCATGCATGCTTCTTTTAAAATTCTTAGAACTAAACATTTTTTTTTTTATACCTCTTTCCTAAATCTCCCTTCATCTGAAAATAGTAGTCAATTTTATGTTTAATTAAGCTGGGTACCAGGCTACATATTTTTCTTCTTTTTAACAGCCCTTATATTTTAGTCCTTATATAGGTTTAGAACAGTTTTTAGTTTCTCCCCACAAATTTGCCTTTGATCCTATTCCAAGAACTATTGTCAAGTCTCTCTTTTACCTCTTCTTTCAATTATTCCTCGTGTATAGGGTTCCTTCTTTACCTGTTGTTTATCGACATTAATTTGAACGTCGTAGGGACTCAGGAACCATATTCTTCAGAGAATCTGTGAATTGCTTCTGCCCTTTCTACTTTTTCTTCCCTTAGAATTTTATCAAGAACCGCACATGCAACAGAAAATTTTTTGAATTAATGGCCTCCGCGTAGGCTTACCTTGCTGATAATTTGATTTCCCAAATTAATTAAGAAGTTTAATAAAGATTCAGTAGATTGCTGGGATTGTGGATTATTTTATGTAAATTCTATACTAATGATATTTATTCTTTGTTTTTTTATCAATAATTGGTATAGTTACAATATTATATAAAATTATAAATTTATAATCATAATATAACACTAAATGATTATAACATATCATTAATTAAGTAGATACATAGAATATTATACTGGTAAATCATT